TCTCACATTTTTTTCTTTTCCCTTTTTGTTCTTCCCCTACACATCACACCTTCCCTACACCTTTAGCGCCTTTCTTCAAATTTCTAAATGTCAGTAATCTTATTAGAATCTTATGCATTGTTGCAGAATATTCACACCAGGGAAACTATTTGGTATTTACACATGTATTAAAACAGAAACATTAAACTTGCTGGAAGGTAAGTTAGGCAGAACTCTGGAAGACATTGGTATAGGAAAAGACTTTATGAACAAATCCTCAGTAGCACGGGAACTAGCAGAAAGAATCAACAACTGGGATCTCATATTACTAAAAAGCTTCTGTACTTCAAAAGAAACCATTAGCAGAACTAAGAAACAATCTACAATGTGGGAAAAAATTTTTACCAGCTGTACCTCAGACAAAGGACTATTATCAAGGATATATAAAGAACTCAAAACAATCAGTCCCCCCAAATATAAAGACCCGATCCAAAAATGGGCATCCGAAATGAACAGACATTTCTCATACAAAGAAGTGAAAGCAGCAAGAAAATATATGAAAAAATGTTCCACATCACTGGTCATTCGAGAGATGCAGATGAAAACAACACTGAGATTCCACCTCACCCCACAAAGAATGGCTGCTATCAAGAAATCACACAATAACAAATGTTGGCGGGGTTGTGGGGAGAAAGGAACCCTCCTCCATTGTTGGTGGGAGTGCAGACTAGTGCAACCACTATGGAAATCAATATGGAGATACCTCAAAGAGCTTGGACTGGAGGTTCCATTTGACCCAGCCATCCCTCTGTTGGGTATCTTTCCAAGAGAACTAAAAGAATCATATCACAGAGAAGTATGTGCACCCATGTTTATAGCAGCACAGTTTGTAATTGCTAAATCTTGGAAACAACCTATTTGCCCATCCGTTGGAAACTGGATAAAGAAGTTGTGGTTTTTCTATAAAATGGAATATTACTCAGCCATAAAGAGCGAGAGAATAGATTCATTCATAGGAAAATGGATACATATTGAAGATATACTCCTAAGTGAAATAAATAACTCCTTCATATCTTGATGTTCAAAAACCTTTCCTCCATTTTTCCACCCTCTTACTTCTCTAAGTCAGTCTGAGGAAACTCAGGTTACTAGGTACACTTGGAAGCCCTCAGAACATGAGCAAATCTGATCCCAAGCATGGAGCAGCTTTGCTGACAACACTGACTTTAAATGAACTAATGAAGTAGATAGCCTGGAGTTGGCTCCTGGTTGGTGGAGAAAGATCACAGAGAAAGCATCCAAGCCTGTCTCCACCTGTCCATCAGCCCATGTGCCTTCTGTCCTCACCAGATCCACGTGCCCCAAAGCACAGCAACTCAGTTCTCTAGAGTGAGCCTCCAGATGCCAGCCGACTGTCTTCCCAGGACATTGAGCAACATTTGGTGATTATTTCCAGCATTCGTGCACTCCCCAGAAGCCTGCAAAACATTTTCTCTAAGGAGTTTCAACACATATAACTAGTGCTTTGTTCCAGTGTGAATGAGGGTTTGTCTGGGTGCCAGTGTTTCACCATACAGGAGATTAGCAAACATGATCTGAAGCCTCCGAGCGGACCATTTCAGTCTCAATGATCTTTCTTCATACTATGCACAAATGTCAAACCCCTCTAGAAAAAAAGTGTGTGGGGGTGCCAGTCCCACTTGTGGATCTAATTAATCTAGACAATCTGCTGTTACAAACCCTTTTAATGTCAAGTATCCACTATCAATTTTGCAAAAGATGGTTTGAGCTAAGCTTGACTGTACCATCATCAGAGTTCTGATAATAGTGTGTTGACACTCAAAAGCTTCTCACACTTTCCCCTTATGCCCTCATAAATAGAATTTTTTTAAAAAATAAGAGGTCAAGAAATCATGGTGCTAGTTCACAGATAGCTCTTATATTCCAAGTGAACAGTTGTGTTCTACAGGAATGGCTTGGAGATCCAAGTGGAAGGGAAGATCTGACTTAGGACAGAGGTCATTGAACACAAAGAACTGGCTAATGCTGGGCTGGCAGGTTTCCTCCCCAAACAGGATTATCCCATATCTCAACTCCTTGCCCTGTGGCCTCAGAAAGTTTTATTAAAATATCTGTATCACTTTCTGGGGCTCTCATAACAAAGAACCACACACTGAGATTAAACAACAAAAGCTTATTCCCTCACAATTCTGGAAGCTGGAGGTTAAAATCAAGGTGTCAGCAGGGTTGGTCTCCACTGAGGCCATTCTCCTTGGCTTATGTATGGCTCCCTTTGCCCTGTGTCTTCACACACTGAGCCTCCCTCACATGGTTCATATGGCTCACCTTCTAATTGCGTCTTCATGGTTCTCCCTCTATCTGTGTCTGTGTCCTAATCTTCTCTTCTTATGAGGATCCTAGTTATGTTGGCTCAGGATCTGCCCATATGAACGCATTTTACCTTCATTACGAAAGATCTTATGTCCAAATACAATTTCATTCCAAGGTACTTAGAATCAGGACTTCAGCACATAAATCTGAGGAGAACAGTATTATCATTCATTAAAACCACTGGCCACATTTCACTGCTTCTCAGACACGTTCCTCGACATTTTAATCATCTATGAAATCAGGCCCTGTCTAACAATCTACAGCGTTCTGCTTAATTGGCAGGCATTTGTCTTCATTAGTGGTTCATAAAGTAATGGGAAATGCCTTGGACTTAATAAATTATGATAATCTTTGCAATACCCTACTGAATTAGATACTGTTTTATCCCCATTGTGCAAATTAGAAAACTGAGGTATGAGGCTAGTAAGTGGTGGGTCTGGGTTTCGTTACACTGGACTGTCTTGTGGTGCTGCTATAAAGGTGAATGAGTCAGTGCCCATGAGGCATTTAGAACAGTGAATGCAACAATGTACACACTCACACACACACACACACACAATAGTGTTATTAATCACTATTCTTTATTTGGGGAACCTGAAATGGTATGCATGATCCTAATAGTCACAGTGTACTAAGCATGTACTCCTGATAGCAGAGTCATTCCTACATTGATGCATGGCCCTGCTACTTCCCACCCTGTAAGCAAACATTTTCAGTCCTACAAAATATAATGAAAGTTTAGTCATTGTTCTTCCAACCTAAGAGCGTGCTTTCAAATCCTATACAAGCTTTGATAAAACTTCGAATGAATGTTTTTGAAATGAGAGGCTGAGGACAGAGGATCACAAGTTCAAGGTAGCCCACACACTTTAGGGAGACTATCTTGAAAAAAAATAGAGGGCTAAAGATGTACCTCAGTGGTGGAGCAACCTTGAGTTTTATATCCAGTGCTGAAAAAAAGTCAGAAAAAAAGGCTCCTGTTTTTAAATGGCTTGGTGTCAAGTTGGGGAAGAAGACAGCAGGTGAAGGGCATACCACTGGTGTGTGTGAAAAGTGCTGTATGAGAAAGTGCTATAAGGTTTAAAGGATGGGCTTTGATTTTGGCTGGGTGACCAGGAGGGTGGTGTATAAGAGGTGGAGGCAGTTGAACTACACTTAAATAATGGGTGTCTTAGTCCATTCTCTGTTGCTGTATGAAAATACCTGAGACTGGGTAATTTGCAAACCAAAATAGAGGTCTATTTACCCCACAATTCTGGAGGCTAGGGAGCACATGAGCAGGGCTCTGCATCTGGTGAGGGCCATCTTTCTGTATCATAACATGGTGAGGTGTCACAGGGTGGGGTGGTATAGCATGCTAGTTTAGGTCTTTCTTCTTCTTATGAAATCACTAGTGCTATCATGGGGAACTAACTCTCCTGACTTCATCCAATCCTAATTGGTTTCCAAAGGCCCTGCTCTCAGATACCATCAACACAATTTGGGAACTAAATTTCTAGTTGATGAACTTTTAAAGTACACATTCAAATCATAGTAGCCAGTAACCTTTCAACAGGTAGTGAAAGTGACCACGAGGTAATCAGAGGCAAACAACAACTCAAAGATCTGAAACTGAGAATAACTTATGGGAAGTGATAGTCCAGTTTGACAAAAACTATGTCTAGAAGAGTACTGGAAGATAATTTTAGTAAGGCAATGTTATGGACTGAATGTTTGTGTTCTCCCAAAATTCTTATGTTGAGGCTCAAGTGAAATGATATTGGAGATGGCATCTTTGGAGAATAATTAGATGTCACCATGAGTGTGAAGCCCCTAGGTGGGGTAAGTGCCCTTAGGTGAAGAGGGGCAGGGCCAGGAATGTAGCTCAGTGGTGCCTGAGCTCTATTCCCCATACCAAAAAAAGGTGGGGGCGTGGGAGATATCAGATATCTTGCTCTCTGCCATATGGGCATGAAATGAGAAGGTAGCCTTTTACAAGCAAGGAAGCAGCCCTTACCAAGAGCCAAATCTGCCACTGCCTGGATCTTGAACTTTTTGTCACTAGACCATGAGAGATAAATGTCTGTTATCTAACATCTCAGTGTGTAGTATTTTGCAATGGTAGTCTGGACTGACTCAGACAACCATTTTGGGGCCAGGTTGTTATGGTTTCTTGAGTGCTACAGAATTAATTTAAACTAATTAGAAAGAAAATTAATTTCTTGAAGGTTGAAAATTTGGGAGTGAAAACAAAGGTTTATTCAAAATTATAAGTGGGGACATTCAACTGGACCCAAGGTGAGACGATCTGTTGAAAGAACAAACTACAGACTGAGGCCAAGAGGATTCATTGCCATGGGCCAGGAGGAGCTTCGCAGTGCATTCTGGTTTGCCCACTTTAGTGTGGAAAGTCCTGTTGTCCTTCAACCCAGGCAAAGTAGGATGGTCACTCTGTTAGCAAGGACATGGCCTTAACACTACCCCTGTGGTGAGTCGTGGGCATAAAAGTCTGTTTAGAGAGCTGGAGAGAATGGGAGGGGGGAATATGGATATGGTAAGGATAATCAACTCTTTCAAGAAACGTTCCGGCTTGGCGTGGTGGTGCACACCTGTAATCCCAGCACTTGGTAGTCTGAGGCAGGAGGATTGCTGTGAGTTCAAGGCCAGCCTGGGCTACACAGTGAGGCCCTGTTTAAAAAAAAAAACAAAAAAACAACAATAACAACAACAAAATGAACATTCTATTGTGGGAGGAGAGGGGACAAAAAACAGCAATATTATTGAGAGAGGTGGCATTAGAAGAAGGAATTTGGCCATTTGTCTTTTTTAAACTGAAAACTGGATGTGAAAGGGAGAGGTGCAAAGTCCTAGAGCTGTGACTTGAGAGAGCAAAGCGGGCATAGGAGGTTGAGATGGGAGTGCAGGGTCCACCTGTAGCTGGGGAAGGCGGAGGACAGGAGCAGACGTGGGAAAGGGTCCGATGGAGCGGTACAGTCTGTGGACGTCCTCTTCTGATGCCTTACGTGTTCCCGGCGGGAAGTAAGAAGCCAGCTAATCCACTGAGAGTGAGACCAAAGAATAGTGTTTGAGAAGGAGAAAGGAAGCACATGTAACTGTTTAGGTTGGGAGGAGCGACTGGGACAGTGCTCTGACCTGCTCCGTGACAGTATTGAAGGTCTCGCCGAGGATGGTCGTCTTGACCTCAACGTGAAGCCAGTGAAGGAGGCTGAGTGCTTCTTTCCAGCTGTATTCAACTGCAGAGATGCAGAGATGAGGCAGGTGGAAAATACGGCAGGTCCAACGTGAGCTGTGACTTTGTCAGAGCAGAGCTATGTCAGAGAGAGGCTGGGGAAGCCGGAGTCCTTTGTCGAGTGGTCATAATGATTAGCCATGGGTGTAAGATGGGTAAAGAGGGCAAGGGATCTGTGCGGGGTGTGCAACAGTGAACAAATGGCAGGACAAGGTGGATAAGAGGTTGGGAAGTCTTGGAGCCAAGCTCCTAAGGAGAATAGACAGGAGATAGTGGTCTGAGATTGGGCTGCATACACTTGAAGTACAGAGGAGGTACAATTATTGGTTGATTTGGAACATAACATGGGAGTGTGTGGCTGCACAGCTGGGGACAAAAGCTTTGGAAGGAAGGAATTCAAGGAATGGAGAGCCTAGAGCACTAAAAAGATCGTCTATCAGAACCTCAAAGTCACCAAACATTAAGATAGAGAAAGGCTAGAAAGTGATAGAAACCAGGAGCTAAACAATCTTCAAGAAATGAGAGGGCCGGGGAGAGGGAGATCTTCTTAATACACTGTAGAAACAGTGAAGGCCACTGAGTGAAATAATGTGGTCTAGTCTGACATGAGACTTGGGGAAGAAGTCGGAGGACTTGGAGAGACAGTGAGGATTATGAATAGAACCTAATTCTCAGCCTGGCAGGCCCAGGGGCAGACAGGCTACAGGAGCACAAAAGCCTCCCTGCGAGGGCCTGCACGGTCTTCTGGGGAGACTTGGGTAAAGGGAATAGTGAGGATACTGGGATTTTTCCAGTGGGGGACCAGGAGTGAGACAGAGGCCATAATGAGATTAATTCTGCTGTACTCGGACACTCGTGATAAACCTGTAAGTATCAAAAGGTAGAGAGGAGGCATCAGCCTCCATCTTCAGCCACAGAGTTGGGGGACATTTAGCCTAAGGAGGCAGGATCCTAATTCCTGAGCTCCAGGAGTATCCCAAATACCTTTAAGTGACTCTAAGTTCTGAGTCTCCTTCTTCATCTTTGTATGTGAGGTTACAGACATTTAGGAAAATCAAGTGCTTCTCTAAGTCCAGCTTCCATTTGCCCTTCATATCAATGAAGGGTAAAAGGGTCATTGTTTTTCACTTTATTATAACAGATATAATGAAAAATATTCAGGGGATTTAAGGCATCAATAAGAAGAGAAAAAAACAACCTTTAATTACGCAGAACTGTTGAAATTGTTTTCTGATGAGAATGCAATCAGAAGAGGAAAATAAAAACTTGTTTGGATGATAAAATTCTGACTTCAATGTACTTAGTGTTGCTGGGTGTGGTGGTGCACGCCTGTGATCCCAGCCCAAGTCAGGAGGATCACCATGAGTTCAAGGCCGGCCTAGGTTCCACAGTGAGTTCACAACCAGCCGGAACTACATAGTGAAACCCTGTTTTAAAAACCCAAAACCAAAATAAAACAAAAAATGTATTCATTGTCAGCCTCAGAACAATGAATCTGAGGAGGGCCAGGGAAACCATTAACAAAAACTGCCCCTGTCCTCCTTTTCAGAGTCTACTGTATTCAATCACATCATCTTGGGAGATCCCTTTTTATATTTGTATTGCTGTTTCTTTTTTTCAGCTATTTCCTGTCAGGCATGGCTTAAACCAACAGGACAAAGCAAGCAGGCTGCTTTCAGCAACAACAGTGGCTTCTCAGTAAATAGGTCAAATGGACTCAAAGTGAAGTATACGACCCCCCTGGTGCCAAAGAAGTCCAGTATTTGTGTACACTTCTGAGCAGACCATCTTTGGGCGTCCAAGTCATAAATATTTCACCCCAGATTACTTAGCTCCTTCAATATCTATATGATCCTAATTCCTTTCCCAGTTAGTTGCTAATACCTGGCCCAGTGCTAGTCCATCCACTCAAGGATGGAATCTCTCCCAGTTAGCTGCTACTGTCTCTCTCTAGTGTCAGTCCATCCACACATAGATGTGAGAAGCTCGGCTTTTCCCAGCTAGCTGCTAGTAAAAATTTCCTGATTTTAGTCTCTGTTTTCTGGATAAGCTTTCCTTTCAAAAGCCTGTTTTGACAAGTGGATTCTTTATGACACTTACATCTTTACTTTTGAACCTCCCCATAAGCTCCTAGAGTGATGTCTTCTGCGTAATTGTGACACACAAACACATACTTTATGTCAGTACCATTGGTCTGATCCAAGTCGACAAGCTCTAAGGGACTTACTGTCTGAGTTTTCTCTCTTACTTTATGCTTCCTGTTCAGAGTTCTTCTTTTGCACTACTCAGCAGTTTGACCTTTGTGAAGAGATTCTTAGTGAACGCGAGCAATCGATTCCCCAGAACCTGCAGGTGAGGGGTTTCAGGAGGCATCTTCTCTCACATTCCCTTGATAGAGTCTCTTGTTAATGGTAAAATGCTCATGTCTCTGATAATCTTGAGTCCAAGAGATAGAATGATTACAGAGAAAATGGGTCCCTGGAAAGCATTAAAGGAAGAGTGAATGTCCCCTATTTTCTGACTTTTGGTCTCATTTATGCTATAATACCCTTTCCAAAAAGAACTTTTTAGGTTAGGACCAGCTGTCCCTTCTCTGTGCTCCCAGCCTCTCTTGCACCAAGGTATCCTTTGGAATTATCGTCCTCCTCCTTTTCATGTGTGGGATTATATCCTGGGTTCAGGGTGCACGCCCTCTAAGCTCTTCTCCAAGCTTGGGGACATTTTCTGCTTTTGGGAATCACTGTGTGCGGGGTGTGTGTACGAGGAAGGAGGTAAAGGTATGGGGGCGGTGACCATGCTACTCTAGACTGAAAATTCCTTGAGCACAGATACTTTGTGTTTTGTTTTTCCCTCTGTTTGAATAATAGTCTTCCCTCATTGTTTACTTCATGAAATCCTACTCAACTTTTAAGGGTCACTGCCTCTGCGATCCAGCCAACATACTCCAAGTCAAATCAGCCACAGTCCCTTGTCCCCACAGCCCTCTGACTTTCCTTACACAATCACTTTATCCTTCCTCCGCAGGTTTTTCTCTTGAGGATCTGTATTAGCATTCATTATTTCAGGGTTCCTGCTGATAATTTGGGACTCCAGCCCTTTCAAAGCAGATTCATAAAGCCTCTTATTACATATTAAAATATTATGATTTCTTTAGTTATAAATCTACCTTTCACTAAAAGGCTGAGACTTTGTTTTTTGTAGTGCTGGATATTGAACCCGGGCCTTCATATATACTAGGCAGGTTCCCTACCACTGAGCCATTTTGATATTTTATTTTGAGACATGGCCTTGCTAAGTTGCCCAGACTGGCCTTGAACTTGCAATTCCCCTAAGGCTGTGACTTTGATATTATTATTTCCATTTCCTTACCTCCTTGCCTAGTGTCCAGAAAATATTAGGGCTTAAAAAAAAATGCTTCTTGAATTAAAGAGATTTCACAGGCAAAAGTCCAAGTAACTAAGATCAGATTTACATAGTGTGACTAGGATTCTGGAAGATCTTTCCTTATCCCCAACAAACTTATTCTTCACCTCTGACCAGGGCAGGAAGTTGCATTTGTCCCTTTAGTCTTTAATGCTTTAGTTGGGTCTTTTGGGTCTCCCAGGATGGGGGTCTGTTTGAAGCTACCCTTTCCCAGGAAACTTGGAGGGTCATGACACTGAACATCCAGACGTTCTGGGAAACACACACTGTGTCTGCCAGAAATTGGCTCAGGGTATCAGATTCCCTACCATGGTTCTGCAGCAACAGTCAAGACCATGATGAGGAAGTGGGCAGGAGTAAAGAGAGATCAACCAGAGAAAATCCTTGGAGGGAAGAAATGGGCTACAGAGAAGGTAAGAAATGAGAGAATCCTTAACTCTACAATTAATTTCCAACTCATTTTTTTACCATCATCACTATCACCCACCCATGAACTCTGTTAAGTCCATCGCCCTGTAATTTATAAAATTAAAGCACTTCTTGCCTTGCAGTACATGTAACACACACTCAGAGGAGGAATTTAAGACTCATTAATGCCAACCCTCCTTACACAGGTTAGATAGAGGAATCAGAAACTGATCTCACCTTTGACAGAATTATGCTGACTGCTTTGAGCAGGACAGAAGTAGACTGAGACATGGGGAACAAGGTGAAGCCAGTGCGGTGATAGAGATGGAACAAAATGAAAGTATGCTGTTGGTGTAGAGGCAGACACAGTGGGCATCCTGTGGAGGCTGGCACGCATTCACATGGTGATCCAGGAGGTAACTACTGGGTACAGCTGATGCCCTCATGGGCCATGCACATCATGGGCTGATCACCTGATGCCAAGCAGAGGTGTTGGGAGTTTCCTTGATAGCTTTGTCTGCTCTAAGAAACTAGCACTGCGGATAAAATACAAGAATGATTAAGTATGCTTGTCCATTTCTATGTATTTTCCTGCATAAGCCCATGTTACATGGATGCTTTTCCATTTGTTTTACAAAAGAAACAGAAAAAAAAAGAGAAAGAAAAACAAAGGAGAAAAAAGAAATTAACTTTTAAGTATATAATAAGGATATTGCCTTTTCTTTTCTCTTGTTCCTTACCAAATCCCCAACCCCAGCCATCCCCCAAATCTGATGAAAAATGTAATTGGCTCAGTGAAAAGAACAAAGATGGTGAAGATGGCGGTAGGGTTAGGAATACAATAGACATGAATATTTGGTGACCTCTATTCAAATATTGTATTATTTGATGAGAACCCCTAATGCATCCATCACACTGATAGGTGCTGGAACAGTTGTAAAAAAAAAAAATGCATGTTCTCTGGTCCCTACCCTCAAACAGCTACATGCACATTCATAGTGATTCAAGGCTCCCATTAAAAACAAAGCATTCTATTGCACTATCTGATGAATAGCAACAGCCCTTTCTAATGGCCTGGCCCCTTTCAGAGAGTTTCAGCAAAAAGGACCCAGCACCCCAAGTCTTTAGTGTTTCCACCACTGATCTCAAACAGGATCTGGGGTGGTTCAGATTGTATATTTGTGTAATTACCAAGCTTTACCTTATTAGCACTGCATAGGAACCAATTCCAAACATTTCACATTATGTTCGACTAGATGACTTCCTGGAAAATAGTTCAATAATTCAGCAAAGCAGCAATCAGTGCTCTAGGTATGAAGCTAGTACCCTTCTCTTCTCCCCAGAGTCTTATCCTCAGGCACAGCCTAGGCCTCTCCTCTACAGGTGTTCCCTGCCTTACAAGTGTTTCACCTTCTTATAGGATATCCTTGAACCTATGTGTTCTGGGTTCCTCAAGTCTGTGTTTTCTAGACTGCATCCTTGATCAAGGCTGCTCCCATTAGATGTGTCCTCTGGGGGCACATTTCTCTTTAAAACAAACCTCCCCCATCTTCACACACACACATACTTTCTAAAATATACTTATAAACTGCAACTTTACTTCCTCTGAAACATGGCATTGGTACATAGTAGGGTAGGGAGCAGATTTAAGGGAAATGATTTCAGTTTGAAACTTTTAATTTGAGAGTGGCTGTGAATTAGTAATCTGGCAATGTTTCATTTGCAGCTAGATAAGTGTGTCTGATATTCACAAGTGAAGTTAGTATGCTAAAGGCGTAATATAGGAGATTCATGAATATGTAGGGATGAGTAAAACAACACAAAAAAACCCCACAATCACAACACTGGAGTGGATAGAGATTGCTCAAGGAGTGCCAGAAGAGGGAAGAAGTCTGCAAGTGGTAGCCCTTGAAGGATACAAATACATTTAGAATGTGGGCAGTGGCCTGAGGGAAAATGAGAAAGATCTAGAGAAATAGGAAAGCCATTTGGATGTAGAGTCATGGGAGGGATGGGAGGAGACATAAAGCACTCGTGACTATCACTGGCCACCAGAAAAATGGCAAATGTAAGGATGAAAAGGGAATTGATTTTGGCCACCACATTATGGGTCCCAAATTCATGAAATACACAAGTTTCAGAGAATAAAGAACCTAGTGTGTTAGGGTGAGGATTAAAAGAAAGGTGAGATATCAGTTATAAATCCTTCTTTTGAAGAGCATTAACCAGAAAGGAGTCAGGTATTGGCTTGAGGACAATGTAAGATGAAAGGATTTTCCCTATTTTTTTTATTGTGGCTGTTGCTTTAATATGAGTTAAAGAGTTGAACAATTTAGGAGCAAGAAACCTATAGACATGGAAGGTTGAGAGTCCCAAAGGGGATATATAATTGTGGAGCAAGAACTGAAAGAGATGAGATTTAGGAATGTAGGTAGATTTTTAGCCTCACACTTATTTCTCAACTCTAGGAGAAGAGCAGCCAAGGGTAACTTGACATGTGAGAATGTGGCCAGAGGGCTTTGCTGTTTCTTGATGAAGGAAGAGAGGTCATTATTTTCTAGGAAGAAGAGGGAAAGGGCTAAATATATAAGGTTGAAAAAAGCGGTGATGGTTTGAAAAAGCAGAAATAAATGGGAGGAAGAATTGACCAAGGACAAGAATAGAATTATTGATCTGTGGTTCAAGGACAGCTGAGACAGTGTGCCACCAAATCATGCATCTGTATGCACAATTGTCTTGAGTTTCTGTTCCTGTGTCTGGAAACATCTTTCTCTATATATAGAAGCAGAGAAACAAGATCAAAAATTGAACTCTATATGGGGAAGCATTGTTTATTGGGTCATTGCATTAGACTATTTTCTGCTACTATAATAAAATACCTGCAGCTGGATATTTTATAAGTTAAGAGTTTCATTTGGCTCATTATTCTAGTAGCTGGAGGTCTAAGCAGCACTGTGTTGGCATTCTAGTGAGGGTCTCCCATCTGCATGACAACATGGAAGAGAAGTCAGAAGGGAAGTCACATGCAGAAGGGACCTCCTTGAGGGATCATCTTGATCCTTTCTTGAGGGTTCTACGAGAGCTATGTTAATCCCAGCTCAGAGTAGAGCCCTTAATGATCTAATCACCTTTCTCTGGGTTCCACCTCTTAAAGGTTCTTCCACTTCAGCATTGCTACACTGAGGACCAAGCTTCCAGCACATGAACCTCTGGGAAACACAATTAAACCATACCCAAACCAACTAGAGCAGTTAGTGAGCAGAATCTTCTTTCACTGAGATACATGCCAAACAAGCATATGATATGAGTTTGTTTTCCTTGTCTGCCTTTCTGCTACTGCCACATCCTCTATGGGGTTACTTAATGCCTGATTCACCATTGGTGTCGCCCATACAATACTGCTTTTCTCAAAAGAATGTATTTTATAGGAAGAGAAGGTCATATGTTTGTGTTTATGCTCACAAGATTTTCTGATCTTAGTGTGTGCCTTTCATCTAGAAATACGTGACCTCACAGAACAGGGACATGGTCACTAAAGCTAAGTTACTGCATTAGCTAGGTGATAACACTTAGCAAGTTTGTGGGATGTGGTATATGCTCCAAATCAGCAGCAAGTGATGATGATGTTTCTCCCATAGCCAGGATGCTAAGCCACAAGAGCCAAGTGTTAAACTCTTGCTCAGTCTTACAACTGATGACTTATTTGCAAAATATTTGTTTCCTGTTCCTGAGACCATGCTCTTCAGTTTTAGAAATCACGACTATTCGGGAGATATAATACTGGAGCCAGTGAACTACATGCTGAGGCTGCCATCTAGCAATATTGAGCTCTTCCTGCCACTAAACAGTAAACAAAAAAGGGCATGATCTTATGGTATCAGGCTAATTGGTCTTGGTGACCAAAGTGACCAAAAGGTTGTTGTTGTTATCCAATGTAATCCAAAGGGCAGGAGACTATGTGGGAGACCTCTTAAAATGGACATATATATAGTGGCAATAAAATCTGTAGCAACCCTGTAAAGGCAAGACCATCAATGACTAGACTCCTCGGGAATAACCATTTAGGGGACCCAATATATAAAAAACTTTGACTAATTGAAGTAGTGTCTCAGAAATTGGTAATAGAAAGAGGAAACTATAGATATGAATTCTAACCTTGGTTAGCATTTACAGAAATCAAGGCTGTAACTGTTTCCCATATTTCATCTCTCCTCTCTCTCTCTCTCTCTCCCCACCCCCCCCCCCCCCTATTTCTGTAACTGTGTTACCATATATACATAACATCTTTAATCTCTCTTTTACTGCTAAAGTTGTGATAGCTGTCTTTCTAATTTATACCATAGACTAGAAGACAGTAAAATTAGATTGTCCATGAACTAGAGGAGGAATAGCTCATAACCCAGACATGAATGTTCTGACCAATAAGACTTTTGGAAAAGGCAAACATGTAAGTGCTTGATTATACTTAAGCCAGTTATGAGCCACACAAATTTGAACTCTTTAGATCAAAAAGGCAAATATCAGCACTTTCATAAGCTCCAACCTGATACCTTTTGTTAGGCAGTGTAATGGATAATTTTATGTAACTTGACCAGGCTATAGGATGCCCAGACAGTCAAACATTATTCTGGGTATTCCTGGGAGGATGTTTCTGGATGAAGTTAACACTTGAATTAGTAAAATGCATAAAATAGACTTTCCTCTCTAACATGGATGGTCTAAACCAATTGCCTGAAGGCTTAAACAGAACAAAAACTTTGACCTTTCTGTGAAGAAGAAAGAATTTCTTCTGCCTGCCTATGAGCTGGGCATTGTTTTTTTCCTGCTTTCAGAGTGGAACTGAAGTATCAACTTTTTCTGAATCTTGAGACTGCTGGCATTTGAACTTGAACCAAAGTGTCAACTCTGCTAGGTCTTCAGCTTGGTGACTGCAAATCTTGGGACATGTCAGCCTCCACAATCCCACAACCCAATTTCTTATAATCAATATATACTATTGAGTCTGTTTCTTTGGTCAATCCTGAATAACACAATCAAGAACATATGTTGTTGTTGCTGCTGTTTAGAAAGTTAAGTCTAGGAGATGATGTGTGTAAATGTTGGATGGATTTTGGGCTTTGCTCGGTATTTGTTTGATACTCATTTCAATTTCTCTGGTCCTATGGATGCCATATTTCTCAATATGCAATAGTGAAGATTCAGTATGTGAGTCAGGATCTGTCTGCCATTCACTTGCACTTGTATTAGTCTTCCACTGTGAATTGAGTTATGTGAGAAGAAAAACAAAGTGAAAAGCACTTGTTTTTTGATGAATGGACCAGTAAAAAGAATTATTTTTCTAGATCAGCTGCTATAGTGATGGCTTTTTGATTGGCTTCTTTTTCTCATTTTGTTCTTTTCTTCATTGAGTTTGTTGGTACATTTTAGATATACAATATAATGACATTCATCACTGGAAATTTGTACCTTTACATAGTCTAACTGGGTTCTTATTTTTTTCTCTATTCCCCTGCCTTCCTTTCAACCCCTCCACCAT